AGAGGGATGCCTCCTGTACCCCAAGACCCTGGGAAAGAAGAGTGGGAAATCAGGGTTGCGAGGGGGTCAGAGGCCTGAGTTGATTGCCAGCAGCTGCCAGATACCATGCCCCTTTGTGTATGTACTTTCCTCATTCATCAAATAGCTGCTGCTGTCTATTCAGTGCCTACCGGGTGGCGGAGTGTTCTAGGCACTGGGGATACCACAGTGACAAAACCTCATCCCTGCTTTCATAAGGCTTACCTTCCAGTGAAATTGAATCCCAGAGAGAGCAGACCAGCCATCCACATGGGGGTGCTGCCGTTTATCATAGGGATGAACAGCAGCACAAGGGAATTTAAAATAATTGAACATTTTCAAAAATTGTTTTTAATGGGGCTGTAGATGACTATGTAGTAAAACCAGTTTGAAGAGGAACTATCATACCTATTTCTGTAATCTTTGAGATGCCCAGCCTGAGCCTCTGACAATTGTTAAATGTGCCACAGGACAGTTGTTAAATGTAGCATTTCTATTGTCCACGGGTGAAATGGCCGGTGGCAGCCCCAGTGCCACCTTTATTTCCTCCAGGCTGGACAGAAGGGAGGTGCAAGCACAGCGTTCTTGACCTGACTCCATGGGAAGGAATCATACAGTGTGGGGTTTTTGGAAGGTGTCCTGCTTTTGAGTCATCTCATGTACTCAGTGCCAAGCTGTGGTTTTGACATGTTGGGTGGTGATGGGTTCCAGACAGCTCAATGGAGATGCTGGAGCAGAAGGAAACAGGGGCGTGCCGTGGAGGAGGGGACGAGGGCCGCAGCCTGAGGTGCCAGCTGAGAGTGAGGCCGATGACACTGCCCGGGGGAGCATGTGCCTGGCGAGGAAAGAGGTGCCGAGGCGTTCTACGAAGCACCAACCTTTATGAGTGAAGAGGAGCCACCAGGAGAGCCAGAAAAGGCGATAGAAAAGCTGAGGGGAGTTCCACGGGCAGCACAGGAAGGCCGTTCCTGGCAGGAAGACACACACAGCCGCAGTGAGCCCTGAGGAATGCCCAGTAAGCCTGGGGGCTGACATCGTGCTCATTTGGTCACTGGTGACCCTCAGAAGAGTGGTCGGGAAGGCGGCAGGTTGCAGTAGGTGACGCGAGGGAGGGATAGGAAGCGAGAAAAAGGCTCTGGAGAGCTGGAAGAGAAGTAGGGTGTTTGGTTTGTTTTCCTTTTGCTGGAAGAGGGTGGAGCGCCTGCGTTTCCTAAGCTGCTTTCTCTGCCGGCCGCTGTGCTGGGTGCTCCCTGCCCGGCCGCTGCATGCCCACCCACCCTTCCTCCTCTCTGGTGGGTCTAGAGCTGCTCAGGGGAAGGTGGGAGCAGGCCTGGCTCTTTGTGGCCCTGTGCCTGGGGTCGTGTCTGGCATACAGTGGGGCTCAGAGTATGCTGGTGACACCCATTCCCTTACAGCACTCCTAGGTGACAGGCTTTGCCTTCCCCATTTTACAGATTGTGAGGTAACGTGCAAAGAGGGGCGCATGTGCTTTGGCCAAGGCCATAAAATGATGGCGCCAGGAGTCAGCCCTGAGGCAGATGAACTCAGGGCCTGTGCTGGCCTTGTACCTTGTGGAGGGTACAGAGTATTTCACTGGATTTGTAGGCTGAGGGGAAGGTTATTTACAAATATTTCCAGAAGATTAATTTTGTGATATATTTAACTGCCAGTATATTTTGGGTGCCTTTGATCTCTTTGGTAAACTGGATTGTCATGTTGACGTGTAGTGAGTCAGTTGGCTTGGGGGAGACATCCCTGAGTATCTGGAAAAACTTCATGGAGATCATTGCGTTTGGGGAGTTACTGCCACTTGTGTGGCAGAAACCTTGGGTTAAAGCATGGTCAGCAGGAGTAGTGTGTTATTGTACATTTTCTCTTTATCCCCTCTGAAAGGTTATGTTTGAGAGCTGTCATTCAGGATTGGATACTAAAAAACTTGGCGGTTCTGAAACCGTTTTCTCTCTGTGTGTATAGGTTATTCTCTGATGTTAAAATGGCTAATGTTGCAGAGGTATGTATTTCCTACAGTATATTTATAACGAAACCACTCTTTAAATATCAACTCAAGTACGTGTCCTGTCTCAAGTTTTACAGACTATAGGTCAGATTCACTCATGCTGTGTGGAACCTCAAAGGGAAATCAATTGTTGTTGTAGTGAAATATTAAGTATTGAATAATTAGTGATGTAAAATAATGTTTCAAACAATTTCTAGGTGCCAAGCACTGTGCTAAGAATTCTATGTGCAATTTCTAGGACGTAGGTTCTATTACTGTACTCATGTTAAGCACACATCTAGCAAGTGGTAAAGGTGTGGTTTGCACTCAGGTGTTCTGACTCCATTGCCTTTTCATATATGCTGTATTGCCTTTCAGGAGGTACTGGAATGAGCAGAGTTGGACAAGTGGTCTGAATTTACATTGTGGAAGGTGTTGTTATAATGAAATATTTTATTGCTTGCTTCCGTTCACATCATTTGATTTTCTTTTCTTTTTCTTTTCTTTTTTTTTTTTGATATGGAATCTTGCTCTGTCACACAGGCTAGAATGCAGTGGTGCGATCTTGGTTCACTGCAACCTCTGCCTCCCAGGTTCAAATGATTCTCATGCCTCAGCCTCCCTTGTAGCTGGTATTACAGGCCTGCGCCGCCGCGCCCGTGTAATTTTTGTATTTTTTAGTACAGATGGGGTTTCACCACGTTGGCAGGGTTGGTCTTGAACTCATAACCTCAAGTGATCCATCCGCCTCGGCCTTCCAAAGTGTGAGGATTTATAGGCGTGGCCAACACACCTGGCCTGAAATCATTTGATATTCTATGAAGATACTGGAGAAGTTGATGAAGAAAGATCTTCCTTTCCCACTAAGAGAATACCATTTGGTTAGAGAGACCTGTGAAACAGAATCACTGAAGAAGCTGCACAGTAATAAGACTCCCAGCCAGCAGGTGAAACAAGAGTTGTTTTTTTCTTTTTGGGGTCCTAGGTGACATGGCTCTGAGGTGGCCACCGGGAACCCTCTCCCCCACCCCTGCCATGGAAAACACTATTACACACGTCCCTCTGTCCCACCAGTTACGAAACAGAATGGAACTGAAGTGTGTTTCTTCTTTTGATGAAAATGTGAACGGGGATCTTTGTACCTGGTTAGTTTTCATTACAGTTCCCCCTTCCTAAAGAGAAGACTCAGAATCAGGATGCATTTCTGTGTCTCAAGAACCTTTTTCCAACAAAAAACCTTGTCAGCATTAAAAGTATAGTCTGTGCCAGATATAGGTGAAGGGGAGGAAGGCAGCAAATCACACTGCCACGTGTGTACCTATGCAACAATCTTGCATGTTCTTCACATGTACCCCAAAACCTAAAATGCAATTAAAAAAAGGTACACAAACTTAAAAATATTAATTGAAAAGTTGGTGTAACCAATGTGTATTTACAGTGTAATTACAATTATTTAAAAAATATGTGAAGTTAAAAAAGACCAGATTGTAGAATAAATGTTAGTAGTGATTGCTTTTGGAAAAAAAAAAAAAAAAAAAAGTATAGTCTGAATGGCTCTGTTTAGTATGGCAGCTATCAGCTTTATGTGGCAATTTAAATTAAAATTAATTGAAAATAGGCTGGGCGTGGTGGCTCACTCCTGTCATCCCACACTTTGGGAGGCCGAGGCAGGCGGATGATCCCAGGTCAGGAGTTTAAGACCAACTTGGCCAACATGGTAAAACCCTGTCTCTACTAAAAATACAAAAATCAGCTGGGCGTGGTGGCAGGCACCTACATGTAATCCCAGCTGTTTGGGAGGTTGACTCAGGAGAATCTCTTGAACCTGGGAGGTGAAGGTTGCAGTGACCTGAGATTACAGGACTGCACTTCAGCCTGGGTGACAGAGCGATAGTCTGTCTCACTCACTCACTCACTCACTCAATCAAATAAAATTAGGCTGGGCATGGTTTAGGCTGGGCATAGCTCATGCCTGTAAACCAGGATTTTGGGAGGCTGAGGCAGGAGCATCACTTGAGCCCAGGAGTTTGAGACCAGCTTGGGCAACATAGCAAGACCCCATCTCTACAAAAAGTTAAGAGATTAGGCAGGCATGGTGGTGTGTGCCTGTAGTCCCAGCTACCTAGGTGGCTGAGATGGAGGATCACCTGAGCTCAGGAGTTCAAGGTTGTAGTGAGCCACTGCACTCCGACCTGGGAGATGGAGAAAGACCCTGTCTCTTAAAAAAATATTAATGAAATAGAATTAGTTAACGTTTGCAGTGGCACTGGCCACATTGTATGTGCTCAGCAGCACAATCTGTTGTCAGTAGCTGTCTCATAAGTTGCACAACAGATCTAGAACATTCTTATCACTGTAGAAAGCTCTCTGGGACAGTGTTCTAGAGACTCTTAAGTTGCATCTTGTAGTATTTGTAACAATGTAAACATACTAAGACTGTGCCTGGCTCTTGGCAAGTGTAGAATGTGAGCCACTTGAATTTCGGGTGGCTTATCAGTAGGGTAGGATCGTGAATAATCATTTTTTTGAAACTATCTTTGATAGTACAAATGTATTGCAGTGATCTAAACTTTAAAAATAAATAAAAAACCATAAAACAACATTATATATAAGAAAAGATTTCTTCTTCTGATTGAAGCATCTATCCAGGCTCTGGCATGTTGTCTAAGGATCGTAAGAGCAGGGAGGGGGGTCTGTGTTTTCCGATTTTTTTCTTTTTTTTTCTTTTAAGTAGAGAAAATGCTGTTTGGAACCAAACATGTAGAAGGCTGTTTTACTTTGTTTTGTTTTATATCCCCTGCAAATAAATTAAGTCTAGTGAGCATTTCTTTTCTTCTGCGAAGTTTGGAGGAAAATCCTTGATTTCTCTCTGTGTTGCAGTTTGAACTTTAACCTGTGGCCTGGTAGTTGAAATAGGTTGTGCATTTTGGTGTGGAAAAAAATCCAATTGCTTTCTCAAGATTGACTAAAATGTTTTAACTCTTCATAGTAAATGAGGCGTGAAACAAATTGTCAAAAGCATGGAGACAAAATTATTGCCGTACTGAACGTTTAACTGGCTGGTGCTATTAACGGCACCTTTCTCCTTCTTTCCTACCCAATTTTTCACAGCTTGTCTTCACTAGAAGACCTCTATCTATGTCAGAAAAATCACAGCCCTTCTGAAAGTGTGAGATTACAGAGTTGCCATGAGGAATAATTAAGAAGTCCTGTAGGCTATGGATTAGAAGAAATAAATTTCTGTTTGCAAACATTTTACTTCACATCATCATTAGATGAAGCAAAAATACATTTTTAGTGTCTCTGAAAGCTTGATGATATATAAAGGATCTTAGTTCTTTATGCTAATATTCTTTCCTATTCATTGTGTTTCATTCTACTTGGAATAATACCCTGCATTTTAGGATTTAGCAGTTTGAATAATAATGCTTAACCTGAAAAGTAATAAAATATTTAAATCATATACTTTTTACTTTTAAAATATCAAATGTTAATTTAAGGAATGGCCAGAGGTTTAAGAAGGAGCACTTTATATTTGTGGCTGTTCCTTCCCTTTTCTTTTTGAAGATTCTGTGTAGGCTCTCAGGTGAGGATTTCTCAAGATCCCCACCTGTTAGAAGGTTACAGCTCTCCTAGCCCACTGGGGCTTGTGATTTCTAGCATAGGTCGTTGAATGGCCAAAAAAAAATGCCATACAGAGCAAAGCTTTTAGCTAAGGAGAAAGATTATGTATTGGCATTGTTTTTCTGTGGCTAAGCATGAGTTAAGGGTTATTGTTTATATTTCTAAGTATTTTTAGCATCTCATAAGCAAAGAGATGTATGAATATCTGTGTACATAACGTGTTTATGAGTATGTAGCTTGTGTGTATTGTGTATGTACACAATAAGGTTCACAGTTTTATTATAATTACAAATATGGGAAATAGAAATGAAGCATGATTCTTTTAACTAATGCAGCTGCTTGTACTTTCCCACCTTCCGTGTAGTTTTTATTTCTAATGGGTGTATGTGTGAATATGAACATTTTTTTTTCTGTCCCCCCAACGTATTTTTTTTTTCTTACTTTTATAGTGATAGGTATACGTAAAGAGTATAGTACATTGGGCCGGGTACAGTGTCTCACATCCGTAATCTCAGCAATTTGGGAGACTGAGGCAGGTGGATCATGAGGTCAAGAGATTGAGACCATCCTGACCAATATGGTGAAACCCTGTCTCTTCTAAAAATACAAAAATTAGTTGGGCATGGTGGCGTGTGCCTGTAATCCCAGCTTCTCAGGAAGCTGAGGCAGTAGAGTCACTTGAACCCAGGAGGCAGATGTTGCAGTGAGCTGAGATTGCGCCACTGCACTCTAGCCTGGGCGACAGAGTGAGACTCTGTCTCCAAAAAAAAAAAAAGAGTATAGTAAATTGGTTATATAACTTTCAAGCAACCATGTTTTCTTTTTATCACACTGACTCTAGTATGGAGAGATGATGGAATTTGTGTGTGTGTGGTCATGTACATTTATTAAGTTTTTCAATGAAGATTTAAGAGCCAACATTTTATTTAGGAAATGCAGTCCACATTTATAATGTTGTATAATAGAAATGCAGATACATTTCCTGTGATTTTTCAATGTAGAAGAGTAATGGATCTTGCAAAGATTGTAGTGGCTGCTACTTGCCTTTTTAAGAGGGAACCAAAATATTTTCCTTTCCTTTCATTGTACTCCAAGCTGTCCATCTGTACATATTTATCGATCCACCATCTTCATCCCTCTGCACTTACCTGTCTTATACTTAACTAAACTTATCTTTGCTTTCATTTTGCATTTATGATTTTTCTTCCCCTTTCAAGTGAATGCTTTATTTTTGTTTTCATGATGTATTTTTTCTTTCTTTCATTTTATCTTTTTTTAAAAAAAGTTTCCTATTTTAATCTGGTTCTTCCTGTCCCTCCCCAGCTGTGCACATTGAGTTAAGGATTAGTTATAAGTGTCCCATTGCATATCCTGCCTTGGGTGGGATTTGCTATACGATTGTTTCTGGGTGTCTGTTATTACCTTTTTTGCCAATACATATTAAAAATCTGGCCATTTTTCATCATGTTTAGGAAACACTTAGCCTCGTTTTCCTCATCTGCAAAATAGGGATGACGAAACTTGGTTTACATGATTGCTAAGAAAGCTAAGTTAGGTGAGGTGTGTAAAGCATATAGCTTTATGTCCAATGTAAAATAAGTGTTCATTAAATGTTAGTAGCAGAGGTAATAGTAATTGTAACGTTGAATTCCCTGGTATGGTAGAAAATGTTTCTAAAGAATACCCATCAAGGCTGGACATGGTGGTTACTCCTATAATCCCAGCAGTTTGGGAGGCTGAGACTGTCCGATCACTTGAGGTCAGGAGTTCGACAGCCTGGACAACATGGTGAAACCCTGTCTCTACCAGAAAATACAAAAATTAGCTAGGTGTGGTGATGCACACTTGTAGTTCCAGCTTCTTGGGAGGCTGAGGCAAAAGAATCACTTGAACCTAGAAGTGGAGGTTGCGGTGAGACGAGATCACACCACTGCACAACAACCTGGCTGACACAGTGAGACTTTGTCTCAAAAAAAAAAAGGACGCCCCTCAATTTTGGATTACATTGATAATTAGGGGCCAGATCATAAAGAGAGCTTTGTTTACTGTGTTAGTCCGTTCTCAACACTGCTATGAAGAGATACCCGAGACTGGGTAATTTATAAAGGAAAGAGGTTTATTTGACTCTCAGTTCTGCATACCTGGAGAGGCCTCAGGAAACTTAGAATCATGGCAGAAGGCACCTCTTCACAGGGTGGCATGGGAGAGAATGAGTGCCTAGCGAAGCAGGGAGCCCCTTATAAAGCCCTCAGATCTCATGAGAACTAACTCACAGTCCTGAGAACAGGATGGGGGAAACTGCCCCCATGATTCAATCACCTCCCGCCGAGTCCCTCCCACAACACACGGGGATTATGGGAATTATAATTCAAGATGAGATTTGAGTGGGGGCACTGCCAAACCGTATCAGTGTATCATGAAAAGATGACATCTTATTCCATAGGTCATAGAATCCACTGAAGAATTTTATTACCTCTAAGAGAGAGGTGATCTGATTGGCCCTTTTTGTGTCTTACTGTTCTTGTTTCCCCCACCCTTAAAATATAAAATTTAAAGCTTAGGCTAAAATATAAAATTTAAAGATTAGGCAGTAATGCTAATGACCAGTATTTATAAAGTGACATGTAAATAGGACACGAGTTTAACAGACGTAAACATCTCACTAAATTTTAGTACTTCACTTAACCAACCCCTGGCTGTTTAGCTAGTAATTGCTAATTATAACTATGCATTTGTTTGTTTATACTACTGTGACGGGAACAGACCTCTCTCAGCTTATCCAGTAGGCCTAGTTAGAGTTTCTGGGTTGAGCCCTTGTTTTTCAGGGGTGTAGCGTTGGCTCCTTGGATTTGAATCTTAGGGCAAATCTGGTGGGGACACTTTGCTTCCACCTGCAGCTTGCTGTGCTGGTTATGTAGTGAGGGAACGAGGAAACAGGATAGGCCCGGGAGTCATGTGGTCTGAATCCCCAGCTCTGCCACTCATTTTTTGTAAAATGGGGATAGTGATAATATCTAAGGTCTGGGGTTGTTTTGAGGATTAAATGAGGTCACATGTTTAAAGCATACAGGAAGTATTTTCCAAGTGTTGGCTATTGTTATTACCCATTACTATTATTGAGGAAATCTAGCAGGTTTGCATTTCACCAAGGAAGGGTAGCTGCTGATTTGTGTATAGGAGTCTGCTCTCCGCTCTCAGAGGGCCTACAAGAAAAATTTTTTTCTATCCAAATGTCACCTTTGCTTTCCTTTCCTTTCCACACACAGAAGAAAAAAATAGGAAAGAGAATTACATACACTTTGCAACTTTTTAATTATTTATTTGTTTATTTAGAGACAGTGGAGTGCAATGGCACCATCATAACTCACTGCAGCCTGGAACTCCTGGGCTCAGGTGATCCTCCTACCTCAGCTTCCTAAGTAGCTGGGACTACAGGCGTGCACCGTCACAACCAGCTAATTTTTTAATGTTTTGTGGAAATGGAGTCTCGCTGTGTTGCCTAGGTTGGTCTCAGACTCCTGGCCTCAAGTGATCCTCCTGCCTTGGCCTCCTGATATGTTGGGATTACAGGCGTGAGCCACTGTGCCTGGCCACATTTTTCAGCTTTGAAACCTTGTAATGTGATTTCCCCTCACTCTGGTTAGAAAGCTCATTTCTAATTTTCATATTGGCAACTTTTTCTGTGTCACATTCACTAAATTGGATTTAATGCTGGGTCCCAAAATCATAACCATAAACCTTGTTGAGCTTCTGTTTCCTTGTCTGTAAAATAAGGATTAAGTGAGCTGCTGGAAGAGCGCATTGCCTAGGTCCTTAATAAATGATAAACTCATGTTCAGCACATTAAACAAACCTTTGAAGGTTTTTAAAAAGCAAAGCTTATGATCTTTGGAAAGTTCTTTTAGTTTCTGAAGTTGGGACACCGCACCTTACCATGCCGCTCAGTTGAAGAACAGGTTCTACCTCTGGCTTTCAGAACCTCCTTAGAGCTGGTTTGGAGGTGTTCCTGCTGTCTGCTTGTTCCTGCTCTCTGCTTGTCCTTTCTTCTAAAAATACATTTCACAGACTTTACTGCATCATATTTTCAACCAAAGTTTAAATGGGAATTGTTTGCTTTTGCTGAATAATACTACTTTACAGGTCAATTAATAATTTCCAAAGTGCTTTTCTTACTTAGTCCCCACAGTAATCTTGGGAGGTTTGGTTAATATCCCTGTTTTGTGTGCGCTTAAGCTGAGGCACAGTGACTTGGTTAAGGACACGACTTGATTTCAAACCAGGTTTTGAGACCCAAATCTGAGCTTTTGCACCTCACACTGTTGCTGTGATATGTTACAGTGATTCTTTAGCTTAGACACACGTTTGGATCAGGGGGTCAGCAACCTTTTCCTATAAAGGGCCAGATAGTAAATATTTCAGGTTTTCTGGGCCAGACAATGTTTGTTTCCACTACTCAGC